GGGGGGGGGGGCAGAGAGAGAGAGAGAGGAAAATGTTTCAAAAAGACGTCAACCTATTACCCAGTTAGTCACAATGAATGAAACAATTGAACCAATCAAAGTGCGAAAAAGTGTGGGACACTGGACAAGTTTATTAGTTGACTCGAAGAAGGATCTCGCTTCGACCAGATTCAGATGTAAAAGGTAGATAAGGCAGACTGTGATGAAGTTGGGCGATGATGAGGTATTATGTCTTTTTGCAACCAATGCAAAAAAAGATGTATTTTTCTCTCCCTCTCTCTCTCTCTTGTGGTTTCCCGAAGGATCCAATTTTTCGTTGTGATTGCTATACCCCAAACACCAGCAAATTTTTCTTCTCCTAAAGGTAGTCTCAAAAGCAACAAAATATGAAGTTCTTGCAAGCATCGCTCTTCATCACACAGGCGATTGCATTCAGTTTGGATACCAGAAGTCCTGCCCTCATCAGCCGACAAGCTGCTACAGATATCGCAAGCAGCATTGCAACGATTCAGGCTGCGACACAGTCTCTCAATACCGCAGTTTCGTTCGGTGACCTTCTGGCGCTCACATCTGCAAATTCCGCCGTCGTCAACGCTATCAAGGCCGCTACATCGGAAGCCAATGGTCTTTCCACACCACTCAAGTTCGACGATGCTACCACTCTCTCCACTCCGATCAAAGACCTCGGAAAGGTCTTTGATAGCACCATTACGAAACTCATTGGCAAGTCCAGCTCCATGATCGATGCACGTCAGACAATTCTTTCTGGTCTCGAGTCCCAATTGTCTGCGTCCGCGGCATTCTCTACCGCGCTTTCACGCAAAGTCCCAGATCATCTCCAGAGTACTGCGATGAGCCTTGCGCAGCCCATTGCTGACAGTCTGGCTCGTGGTATCGCCGAGTACTCCAAACGCTCCATTGGTGGCAGATTGGAGATTCGGAAAGCTGCTCCCGCCGGAGCGATTGTGACACAAATCGCAGACGGGTGAGAAAAATGCTTCGAAGCTTGACCATGTCGCACACTGGAGATGTGTCAGCTAATGTTTGGCTCTGCAGGCAAATTCAAGCGCCAAAAGGCAGCGTGCTGCCAACTGTGTCGGCCAGCATAATGACCGCCAGCATCATTCCAGCCAGCATAATTCCAGCCAGCGTGCTGCCAGTCACCGCCAGCGTCCTACCAATCAGCCCCAGCACAATCTCCTCAACCATCCCAACAAAAGCAAGCAGCGCCATAAGCAGCGCCATCAGCACCGCCATCTCAAAGAGCAGCATCTCCAACATTCCAGCCGCCTACGTGATGCCAACCCTATCCACCATCACGGGTATACCATCTTACAGCTTACCAGGTTGCACCACACCGACCAACCGCCGCATCTAAAGCCCGCTGTTGAGGTGGAAATGGAAGGGAAGCCTTCTTTTTTTCTTTTTGTTGGGTAGGTATTCACTGGGTGTTGTCGGTGGCGTGGATGCAAGTGATTTTTTTTTCGCTAAGCTTCAATGGAAATAAGATCAAGGTCTTGGGAATGTGGCAACGTGAAGTGAAGGAAGTCGATGGTGAATGCCGTGTGTATGTGTATGATCCCCTAGAATAGATTAGATAACGATTAGATAACGATTACTGCGAATACTTACCATGTAGGTAGGTCAGGTATGCAGACGATACCTTAGATACCTACGATAACGGCTGGGATTTGGGAGGTAGGTATACCTTGTATATACCAAACGTTAATGAACCTGATGCGAAACCAACGATCAGTGTGGTATGGAATCTATCCCGCCTTTACACCAAGCCCAACTTGATCTTTCTCTTACCCGTGCTCTCCTCGGCCTCATCGCTGATTCGGACAGTAACCTTCTGAAAGAGCTCAAATTTGCTACCCGCCTTCTTCCCATCATTGATCTCCAAGGAGTAGTCTTCCGCATCAAACACGCTCTCCGGCTCCTTCTCCCCTCCATCGCCCAGGTCCTTGAGACGGACCAGTCCTTCGATGCCAAAACGGGGCACAAAGACCACAAACCCGTTGCTGAAGATTCGCATGATGAACCCATCCTCTTCTATGATGCGACCTTTGAGCGCCTGACCTACGTAGTATTCTACACTGGCACGTCCCGCCATCTGAGCATTGCGATGTCGGACGTTGATGTTCTTGCATACACCTTCAAGCTTGTGTCTGGACTGGAGAGAAGCATCGATCGGCTCATACTCAATGGCTGCTGCAAGCTGTCGGTGTGCTTCGAGATCTGCATAACGTCGGATGGGACTGGTGAAATGCGTGTAGATCTCGGATGCAAGACCATAGTGCCGGAACTCGGGGTATGCTTGTGTGCCGGAACAGAAGTACTCCGCAGACATCATACAACGCGTTGCGAGGATGCGGACGAGAGTGTTGAAGAACGGCTCTTGTGGATCGACGCATTCGTCCAAGCTGTCGGCGAGTGCTTTCGATGAGTCGTGTCGAAGTTCCATGCCTTTCTTAGTCTTGAGCTGGTTGCCGAGTTCTTCGAAATTCGCCTTTGGGGGTGCAGGGTGACGACGGAGGAGGGCAGTCTGTGGAAAGGCCTCGTAGTTCTTGCCCGCAACGGAGATGTTGGCGAGCAGCATGAATTCTTCCACGAGCTGATTCGTATCGAGGAGTTGCTTGGTTTTCACATCCACGGGATCCGACGTTTCGCTCTCTGTCTCGACTCGCACTTCGGGCGACGCAAGATTCAGCGCACCAGCAGCCATTCGTTTCGCTCGGAGTTTCTTGGATAGATACATGAGGTGTCGCATCCCCTGAGTGAGATCGTCTTGCTGCGATTGGTCGTCGATGCGGAGCTGAGCGCGTTCGTAGCTGAAGGCCTCTCGCGATGCAATGACACTCTTCGTGAATGTCGCACTCACAATGTCGGCGTTCTGGTCGAGCTCCCACAGTACACTAAAGGCGTACCTCTCCACATATGGTTTGAGGGAACAGAGATCGGTGCCCAGCAGCATCGGCAGCATGTCAATGCGCTTATCTACCAAGTAGACTGTAGTACCACGAAGAGATGCTTCCTTGTCCATTGCGTTGTTGGGCTTGACAAAGTGCGAGACGTCTGCAATGTGCACGCCAACCTCGAAGTTGCCGTTCGGCAGCTTCTTGGCATGCAATGCATCATCAATGTCTACACATCCAGGAGGATCGATCGAGCATATGAGCTCACCACGGAGATCCCTTCTACCTCTCCAACCCGGATCGTTGACATCTGCGGGTACCTTCCAGTCATGACCTTCAGCTGGTAAACAGTCAAGCACAGTTTTGGGGAACGGTCGATATTGGACGTCCCACTCCAGCAGCAGTGCTTCAGTCTCGGCACCCTTTGTCTCCAGCTCGCCCAGACTACGGACAAAGTGGCCAACAGGGTACCGCGACTCACGATCCCAAGAATCGATCGTGACCAGAACACGCTTGCCGAGCAGGTCGCCAGCCTGTCTTGTGCGCACTCTAATCTTTGGTATACGCTTGTCCATGGGTATGAGAAATACTGTTTGCTGTGCTCGACTCTGCTTCGCACCAGTTTTGACCGAGTCCTTGTCGATGTGTCCAACGTATTGACGCCAGTTGCGCTTGATAATGCCAACTACCTTGGCGGTCGGCTGAGGTTTGCCCTCTCCAGCCTTGCCATGGGCACGCTTGACTTCATCGCGCAATGCCTTACGTTCCTGTGCCGATACTACACCTTCACCGGAGTCGTCCTCGTTCTCGGCATTGTCATTCTTGTTGATGTCTTCCTCTACAATGACCTTGCTCGAAGGCGCTTTCCATTGATCTTTGGGAAGAACCTCAAGAACCACAATATCGCCCGACACTGCCCGGTTGCTGTTCTCTCGACCTTGGATAATGAGGGGACGGTCGAATGATGGCACGTGCACGGTACCTTCGAGGTAATTGTACGGTGACACACTAAAGGTTCCCTGATGCATGGTGCCGTTCTTCACGCCAGTAAGCATGGCTGAAACTGAAACGTAATCCGGGTAGAGTAGCTGTGTTTTCGCATCGCGTGCAGCTCGCTGATCACGACTAGAAGCGACCATGTCAAGAAGACGATCTGAGTCGGCCAAACTCGACACATAGTCATGCAAGTTAGCAGCAGCAATGCCATCTAGCTTCGCCTTGCTTAAGTTATCCTTGTCATCAGACAACATGACAATGGCTGGACAGCGGATGCTCTGACGAGCGGCCACAGCCTTTTGCAAATGTTCAGAGTACCACTTGCACGCCTTTCGAATGCCGCGGTCGTTGCGGTCGTTGATGGTCTCGCCAGCGTCTCGAGCGACGTGCGTCTCTAAGCGAAAGTCGTTGAAGAACACATAGAACCTCTTGCCATCATTCTTTGTGAGGGCAATCAGTCTGTGATAGAGTGGTAGAGATCTATTCTTGACTTCTTCGAGGACCGTCTGCAGCACGATCACATCCTGGACCGTATTTTCGGCCTCGAAAAAGTCCATGGCATTGAGAAAGGCATTGGTGTCAGGCACCAGGTAGTGTCCTTCCGAGTACACTTTCGTCGCAGCGGGTGTAGCTGATAGGACGAACGGCTCCCTCTTGTCGTGGAAGCCTGCTGGAGCGATGTCGATGCATTCGGTGCACAAACTCGAAGAGCATGGTATATCTTGGCGCAGGTAGAGTTCGCGTACCACTTTCTGCACCTTGCCTGACTTGAGCGTCCTCAGATACGTTTTGCTGCTCAATGTCGTGCTGGATGAGCCCGTCAACGCGTATGATCTCTTCAGCGAAGTCATCGCGGGCCAATGTGCGCTAGGCGCTGTTGATGTTGATGACGGGTGTGATGTTTGTTGCTGCTGCTGTTGGAGAATCTTCGCGGAGTGGTGATCGGTGGTCGGGATCTCGGCCTGAACCCTAACTTTGTTGGACCCTGCGTTTCGCCACTGTGGCAGTGCGCAGCCTCGGTGCTCGAGTCGTGACGTGGTTATCAATCCGCCCGCTCTTGAACTTGAACATCATCAGCGACAACAACAACAGTATCTCAACTCCGACGTTGAGCAACCTACGATGCCGCCAGGCATAAACCTCTGGCATAGTCTGGTCGCCAGACATGCCAAGAACCTCAAAACCGCCTTGTCGAAAGGCCTCAAAGCCCTTGACGCTCAGATCGGAGGCCAACGCGCAGCTCAACTCGAACCCATCCTCGTACGAAACACTCCTAAGCAGCCGCTGCACCCTCTCGCACGCATCCGCCAGGGCCAGTCACGCCAATACTCGACTGCTCGCCGCTGGCTGAATTCGACCTTCCGAGAGTTTTCGTCTACCGGCAGCAGGTCTGGCGTGCGCTACGACCGATCGTCTTTCCCCAAGTCGAGGATCGGCTCCTACGTGCAGTCATCGTCTGGAAGAGCGCCGTTCGCATCGACTCTCCGTCCCAACCTCACTGGTGGTGCTCTCGGCAGGACAGCAGGAGGATACACGCATGGCGGAGCTGGAGGTGCCCGTTACTTCAGTCATGGCCCCGCAATGCAATCACAAGTTGTGCACAACGTATCGCAAGCGATGCGTGCGTTCCTTACGCAGGGCCAGAAGGCCCAGTATGACGGTGTGAATGGGAATGGTAACAAGCGCTTCAAGGCCGTGTCAACTCTTCGCGAAGACACTGGCCGCAAGCTGCGCTCTGTGCCAGCTGCAACCCCGGGCTCGTGGATCGACTTCCAGATCAACCCATCCATCACGGCGCTCACACCATTGAGCTCTGTTCTCGGCTACACTATGTCTGAGTTGCCTGAGACGAACAACCTCAACACCGAGGGCCTTCTCGATGTGCTATCCGCTGACTTCTCACGCGTGCTCAAGGACCTCGCTGCGGTGCTCAATGACCTCAGGCGGTTGTCAGCACTAGGGGACTTGCCAATCACATACCAGAAAGATCATCTGCGTATTCACTTCCCAGGCTGCGACGCGGAGACTGTCGAGCGGCTGTGCGATGAGCTGAATGTGCAACGCGGGACTGTTCACCAAGACCCTTCATTCGATGTATTCGCTGGAACTGAAATTGCGCTGCTATTTCCATTCGCTCCTAGTCGTGATCCCTCATCAATGAGCGAGGAGTCCTGCGGCGCTGATCTCTACGACTACCCGCTGAAGGCTGACCGACATGTCATCGGCATTGACGATATGCTATCGGGCAGTGCAGCATATTCAACGCAATCTGACACCGGCTTCGAGGACATTGCCGGAGAAGAGCTATCTACTCCTTGGCTCACATCATCAGAGTACCAATCCGTCCATTCTGGCAGTCTCGGCTCGAACAAGCACGATCCCCTTGAGTATCAAGGATTCGAAGGCATATACCGGTTCATCGAAGAGCTGGATTCTGTCCGTCGGTGAATTAATATATACGGCTGATTATCAGAGGAGTTAAGCAAGGTGTTCTCGGTATTGGATTTGGGCTACGAATGAGGCATCAGAATGATATCCCACCTGCTCATAGCAGCGTGCACGACACGATGTTACGAGATCCATCTTTGCCGATGGATGAATGTTTCCTTTGTTGTGCGGAGGAGAAACTGCAATAGTCAACTCAATGAAAACACTCGTTCCCCATCTTGACTTCTCCACGTACTATAATGCCATCCCACTCCACACTCGTCACACTGCCAGGAGATCCTCTTGATAGTTGTTCTAGTCCCCCTCCCAAAGCGCAATCGAGGCATCCTTATGCACCTATCCGCAATTCAAACGAATCGGTTCTTCACAAAACCCTCGGGTCAATCAGGCACAGCCCTTCAAAAACACCAAGAAGCATGCAGCGTTCCCGAAAACCCACATCATCTCCCGTTAAGCCACTGCAGGCAAGGCAGACAGGGCCATCTTGAATCAACAAATGGCGTTGGATGGCTTTCCGTGCTTGTGTGGATGCAAGATACACGAGAGTCAGGCTTCTATGGATTCATGCAGGTAGCCGCTGCATGCCCCCGAGCGAGCGAGCAGTAGTATGTATGTAAGGTCAGGTAGGTAGGTAGGAGGTACCTGCCCTCCTTATATGCCACGTCAGACACCACCACCTACCTCTACATTGAACTACACCTTATTACTCTCACGGACGGAAGACTAGATGGCGTTTCAAGGGTCATCGTTGCTCAAGTGTCCGTCTGGGCGATGGGTCTCATCTACGTATAAAATACCTAGCCAGCACACCCAGGTTGTGCACCTGGTTTTGTTTTTTTGTTGTTGTTGGAAGTATATTTCGACCTCACCTCTCGGAGACTTTTCTTTTTGGTTTTACTTCCCTCTTGTAAAAGGCTTGGCGAAAACTGGGGATGTTTTGGTGTCGCGTCGCCTGATGTCTCTCTCTTTCGTTGACATGACAGACAGACACTGTTCTCGCTACATCTACTGCGCGCGAAAAAAAGAAACTGCATCGCGAGTTCCGGCTGTCGTAATAGGTAGGCGTGGGTGGAAGGGGCGACAAGGGAACCGAGAATGAGGGAAAGAGCGTGGCAAAAGGTCGCTTCACCGGACTGGAGCCGAAACCTCAACAGCAGAACACGGGCGCCGATATGGAACTACATGTAGTGGCCACCGAGCCTTCCATGTCCAATGTAGACGTCTCCAGGTGTTCAATCCCCACTTGGACGGCTTGGCTAGTTGAATAGGACGAGAAGAAGGGGAAGGCGAAAAGGAGCGAGAAGGATTAATGGGGTTTTCTCAAGCAGAAAGAGACAAGTTCCATGCAGGGATTCGAGATTTCGGAAGGTATTCCAGCCTCATCGCATATTGAGATTGTGAGAATGGCTGCTACCATGTGTGGGTTCATGGCTATCACCTACCTCCTAGGACAAGATTGTTTTGCGAAAATCTTTTGCCACGGTTCCAGTGGCGTTCGTTGCATTCGAAGGAGCAAGTTGCGGTTCTCAGAAGAGGTTTTGTGTTACCAAGTCGAGCTTGATCTACCTACAGTCCTCTGGCGGTGACGGCGACGACAACGACGATAGTCTTTTACGGCGCGCAGACCGACCGTTGCATGCACTCTGATGGGACTTACGGAGTCGATACCGGTATTGCTGGAAGGGGAGGCCGAATCCATGGCGCTGGTAAGAAGTCAGAGGCCTACTGTGCGTCCGCCATGAGAGTCGAGAGGATCGTGCTGCCTAGCTGGGCGTTATCGCGAGCCTCGTGTCCTATCTACCTCTTATGATGGCGCCCAAGGTCGGCTACTCTCTCTGGCAGTTCATGGTCGACACTACTTCCGGGGTTTGGCCGCAGAACATGACTCAAAGCGACCTCGCTTGCTCAAGCAACTGCTGATTTTTGACTCGCGCGACTGAACTCCGATATATGCTCGCGTCGTATTTGACATCACACACTACTAGCCAGTTTACCAAAACTAGGGATCGACCAGTGGCTGAAGTCCGTTTTGCGAGGCAACACTGTCAATTCGTCGGAAAGATGTCCGAAAGCATATTTTACGATCAGGCGGGTTTGCGCGATGCCCCACCTATCAGCTGGCCATGCGGTCTTATGAAGCGGCTTGTGACCGCAGATGGGAAGCAAGAATAGCTTCGAGGCCCAGTGAAATTCCGGAGATTTATTCTCCAAGGAACATTGGTCCGCTAGCTTCGACACGGGCACTGGTCGTCCGTGTTCATGATGTCAAGACCTGGCCACCTTTTGCACCCATTGAGCATAGAAGTAGAAACATGCTGACTTCGTGCAGGTCGGACTCGGCTATCTCGGCATGCCTCATATCACGCATGACATTGGATCCCGTGGCTCTCCTGCGAAGACTGCTGTACCCAGGAATGTACCGATGTACGAGCCGTTTTCAGGATTTGCTCATGCTCAGAACTTCAGCCTTTCGGTAGGTGGCTGCTGATGCGATTTCGCACCACGGTCAAGAGAAACGACCAGCGCGAGAAGACCATGGTGGTTGATGGTCGTCGCACTGGCGAGGCTGTCGCTCAGACGGCGGTGAGGGTACGACGGGTTGATTCGATACCATCTACGGTCACGATGCAGGATACATTACACCTGCGAGCATGTCCTGGTTGCATGTGATCCATTATTGTCCAGCCCAGCCGAACACTGGTCCTTTTGAAGCTCAGAAAAATGGCGCTAACTGTGGAGTAATAGACCGCTCGATAGCGTGCTTGATTGGACTGCATAGCATATCTTGGCCTCGACCAGGGTCGATGCGGTCGTCCAATCGAATCAACGCAGCAGGTTTATGTTGATTGGCATTTTGATTGACAATTTTGCCACCTTTGTTTGGAGGCGTCATCTCTGATCTCTCAGCCTCGCGTATTTGCTACTTGAGACATTGGGTAGGCACATGGGATGGGGGCTCGCGCAAACACAGGTCATTCGACATTGGTGTTCGGGTGCGGTCTGGAAGCCGAGGCGCAGTCTTATCATCATCATCATCATCATCTGATCAAAGTTCTTCTAGGCGCTCGCGTACCGTCATGTACGTGTGCAATTTCCCGTTTGCACGTTCGACATTTGGACGGCTCGCTGGGAGCCGCACTGCGGGCCGCAAGGCAGCAGGCAGAAGGCAGACGGAGGGAGGGAACCAGTGGATTCAGCTGACGAGGCTGCACGGCAGATCTTCACAGTGATTACTATGTAGGTGGGTATGTACTGCTACAGTTGTCGTAGCCAACGACCAAGAAGGCGCATCAATCGGGATTCGGTGGGTGGTTGCGCGCAGGAGACCTGGTGCTGGTGCTGGTGCTGGAGCAGCTACACACAGTACATGTAGTAGGTACATGTTGACTACCTTACCTCCCCTACCTCCTAGGTATATACATGTACCCGTGGAGATGCGGCCATGTGCTCAGCATCCATGATGATGTAATCGTCGGCTTGCCCACATCGGCTTCAGGTTCCATTCAGCAATGGGAAATACAGGTACCTCCTACATGCATACGCAGACGGCCATTGATGATTGCTGCCGCCGACAGCTCTGCGTCGTCGTTGATACCTTATGCTTTAGGCATGTTCCAGCAGGATTAAAGTTACCGGACTCTACCTTCTATCAGCAAGCACAAGCTCAGTGGCAAGATCTGCGCGCCCACCTGTTCATCTAGCATGCACAGATGGTGCGGCGCGGGACGGGTTACAAAGGACAATCTTGTATCGGCGTGTAGCTTTCGTGCCGAAGACTCATCATGGGTGCCAGCTCTGGTGGCGTGGGATGTCGATGTACGGGCGATCCTCCAATGTGAAGACGGCGGGTATCTGCATTAATCGCTGCACTTCCGGGACATGTCGCCAGCCGATGTCGACTTCAGGTGGCAGATCAATAAGGGCTCGACGCATCTCTGCAAACGTGCAAGAAGGCAGGTAGAGAGTGAATGTGCCTACTGTGGCGGGCGTCAGGCGGTGCATATGGGCCCAATGTGCGAAATGCATGCGCGTGCGCGCGGGAAGAGTAGAGCAGAGCAGAGACCGTAAGCCCCTCGTTGAGGTAGCATCGCAGCTATTGGCCCAAAATAAACCTTGCATGCTATACTGCCTTCATATCATTCGATAGTGGGCAAAGGCGGCGGAGCTTTGTCTGCGACAGTAGGACGGCCGGCAGGACGCAGGCTGGGTATCTTTGGGTCTTTCTTGGTACAGCCACGCCAGAATTTCAGGTCAGGTCAGGTCAGGTCCGCGTGTCGCGGTGTGAGAGCTGCACTAGGCCAATACACGATGCCGCAGAAGGTCTTGGTGCTGCACGATCGCCACCGTTGCGTAGATGGGGAGGATGCGTAGATCGCAAATGGGGCGGCGTGAGAGGGTCGTTGCTCATCCATATGTAGGCAGTAGTATAAGCCACAGAGACTCTCCGCCTGCGACGCTCGGCCAATCCATTCGCTGTCGCAATTGCGTGCATTACCTTCCCGTCGTGCGCTTCCGCCAGTCGTCAGTAGTGTCGTCGAGGGAACCGTTTCCGTTTGCACGCAGCAGGCTTCTTCCATCTCCAACAACAATCTAACCTACCTGACCTTGCCTACCACCTACCTATGCTCCGAACGAGAGCACATGCCACTCGGTGATCTCTCCACGCCTCAGCACTACCCAAAGCAGCGGCATCAGCAATATCTCCAGCGCCGTCGGGTGCCCATAACAGCAACGGCAGCAGCAGCAGTAGCAGTAGCATCAGCAGCAGCACGAGAAAGACGATTGCTATTGCTACCTGACTGGGGAGCTCCTCGCGCGCGCAGAAACGCTGTGCTATCGCTACCAACACCGTGGCGAGCAACTTCACGCGACGAATCACGACGGGCCCAGCGATACTCGGCGCAGCATCTACTCTGTTGGAAACAGACCGCCTTCGTCTTTGGGCGCATTGCGGTTTACAAGTGAGTCCCAATTTCCTTCGTCCTGCCGACCCTCTTCTCGCCGCTGCCAGCACACCGGGTACCATCACGCAACGCTTTCGACCTCCCGCACCCGGGTAGTTGGCTTCTCGGCCCACCGAGCAAGCTCAGCGCAACATCCCTTGCGCGCCGCCTCCCGGTGTCTGGCTCGAACGTGTAACCCCAGCGCGGGTGCGGGCGACCCTGGGGATCGCGCTGGGCCACCAGATGCCTCAGCAGTGCCGCAGCTAGAGTAATGGAGAGATGCCGTTCTCCGAGCAGCAGCTCGAGGGTCGACGATTGATCCATCAGGCTCCCAGCGACTGCAGCGAAACGAGCAATACCAGCAGCGCACGAGCGAACCGGACCCCGGTGTCCTCCATATACCGACCTTTTTCTCCTACCTCCTCCTACCTTACTACGGTACCTACCCACCTAGGGCACCCATGGGTCGGTCTCGGCGGCGTCTGAGCGTGGTCTGAAGGATTCAGCTGAAGCGGACCGTTGCTGACTGTGCCTAGGAACCACGTAGCGAGTGGTCGACTGCCAACCGCAGTCGTACACAGTATTATTATTGTGCAGTGGTAGTGGGGGTGCTTCTGTCTGCGTCATCCGCCCCGGGCGCTCGCCTGTTTGTGCTCGCGACCCTAGAACTAGTCCTATCCTAGTGTTGGCGCTAAGACGCCGCTCTGCAGAGCGTGTGCCACGCTCTCTCGGCGCATCAACCATCGGCCCTCACTTCGGCCTGCCTACAGCTCGCCCTTGCTTCGCCAGCTGCACATCCAGTCCAACAAACAACGCTCCTGCGTCCCAGCCTGCGTGCACGCAAGAACAGGGTTCTCCAGCTCGACCGCAAGCTTATCTGCGCTCTGCTAAACTTTGGGATCGTGCAGCGCAGCGCTCCGTCCCTGGTCACGGGCTATTCGATTCTCCACTTCATCACCGAGCGCGCGCGCGAGGCAGAGAGCGCGAGAAAGAGAGAGAGACAGAGAGACAGCGAGACAGAGAGCGAGCTCAGCGTACCCACCCCGCGACACCCTCGTCCCATCCATGCGCATATCGCAGCGCGCAACCCTCCGAGTATCTCCAGCGCCTCACCGCCACCGGCGCGCGCAGGCTCAGCTCAGAGACCGCACCGCCTGATACAGCGTTGGCTGTGCGACGAACCCGAATCGACTCGACGTGCTCGATGCCAGGCAGCGGGATGTAATGCTGGCTGTGTCGCATCGGAGCTTCGAAGCATCATCTACTTCACAAGCCGGTCTGGCCATGGAAGACACGGGCACAATCAATCCAGCAGCTTTGAATGCGCCTGGTAAGCAAACAAACCCTCGCCTACCCCGTAGTGCGACGCGTCCGTCGTCGTGCTCTCTTCGCCTACACAACATCGGCGCGGCTCGGCTGAATGTGTCTCCTAGCCATTTCGCAATTGCTGACCCAAGCTGCCCTCCTCTAGCCAATACCATCTCCCCCAACCTACTCTCGACGTCCAGCCCGCGCGGTCAGAAGCGCAGTCGCACGCCAGATTCGTACGCAACGCCCGGTGTCAAGACGGAAGGCGGTATGTTAAGCCAAGATACACCACTCACACTGCGCATGCGCATGTGGGCTACACAAATGAGAAGCCACGCTGACATGTACTGCTGCTTGCAGATGACGCCAAGACCAACAAGATACGCAAACTGAAGGCAGAGCAAAGTCCAGCGCCATCCAACATGACGAGAGCCGTTCCCCACCACCCGGTGCAAACACCACATATGAGAACAACATCATTATCACATGTATCTCCCGCCCAGGCTTCACCCACACGATCCACTCCAGGTTCAACAACAAAACCTCCTGTGATCAAGGCGCTGCCCACGGTCAGAGACCATACCACAGATCAGCTTGGACCGCAAGGCGATGAATACATCCCACGTGAGATTGACGACTCGGGAGAGACGAAAGTTTCCCAAGATGGGTATCCCCTCGGGGAACGCAAGTACCGATGTCGGACGTTCAACGTCCCCAATCGTGGTGACAAGCTGTTCATGCTCGCCACGGAATGTGCGCGTGTACTGGGCTACCGCGACTCATATCTACTTTTCAACAAGAACAGGTCGTTGTACAAAATCATCGCGAATCAAGCCGAAAAGGACAACTTGATTCACCAAGAGATCCTGCCATACTCCTATAGGTCCCGGCAAATTGCCATCGTCACAGCTCGATCGATGTTTAGGCAGTTCGGGAGCCGTTTGATTGAAGGCGGCAGACGCGTTCGGGATGACTACTGGGAAGCAAAGGCTAGAAAACAAGGCTTCACCGAGGACGACCCGGCAGGAGAAAAGCGCCCAGGAGCTGCGAGGGCCCGTGAGTTGGCTGCTGCAGAGGCTGCAGCAAACCACGCCAATGCGTTGAACTCTCTGCCACAGCATGGCGAGATCATCTATAATAACGCCGGGCTGGATGGTGGGCCACCAGGCCTGGGGCAGGTGTCGCTTGCTCCATTGCCCATGATTCACCTACCTAGTGAGGACCTCCGACCCAGTGCGACTGGTGGCATTGTCCGGCCACGACAGGAAGTCACTGGTCCAGCGTACATGGACGCCACCAGATCAAGTGCACCTGCCGAGATCATGACGCAAGCTGTAGGAGCAGCCGACTTCAATAAGCAATTGGCTGCGCAGCGCGATCATCGTCGTCAGTACTTGCAAAATTATTGGGAGCGTCCTCATGAGCAGCAGACGACAGAATCGCAGACTGAACAAGCCGGTTCCAGCACTGTTGCGCCACAGAATTTGCAAAGTCCGCAAAATGTATCTCAACAACAACGACAGGAAGCGCCACAAGCATACTCTGCCTACCAGAACCCGCAGAATGCTATGCCCTCGCCCGTCCAAACGATGCACCGAGGGGCTCCCGGGCCCGTGCATCACGGATCACCGTCGATGGCCGTGAGTTCGCAGCATCGTCAGACTCCCTCGTATTCTGGATATCCTCCCGCCCAAATGTGGCCACCACCCCAGCCGCAACCATCACCACTCGGTCAGTCACACATGTCTGGGTATGGTCAGTCACAGCCGCCACAGCAGCAGCAGCAACAGCAGCAGCCACAACATCACTCCCAGATGCCCCCGCCACAGATGCCGGGTCAAGGGATGAGCTACGCTCAGCAGCTCGGTCAGATGAACTCGGCCGCGTACAGTGGCATGAACAGGAGCATGTATCAGCCCAACCCAAGTCAGTACATGGGCGGACAGGCTCAGTCTGGCGCAGGACCTCAGCCAGGCATGCAAGGATGGTCCGGTCCTGGCAACAATATGCCTCAGAATTACGGCTACCAATGATACCCATGAGACGAATGGCCACATGTGGCGCAGATACCAGAGACTGGGCTCGGTCATACCCATAGATCCATACCCTTACATTTCTTGTGCATGCTTGGATTACTCGAGGTTTTTACAGCATCTTTACCCCTTGGACCCGAACGTTGCGCGCCTTCCATTTGAGCTGTCTGGCCACCGCGACAATCACATCATCAATAACAACATCGATATCACCGCTGCACTGTCCTGCGATAGGTAAACACGGATGGCTTGGGCCTTGACATTATCTATTCTCATGGTCGGCTCTCTGCTGTTGCATACGTTCAAGGACATGGGGGTTTTTGCATAGGCCTCGTGTGGTCCAGGAGGCTTCCGTAGTTGTAATCGCTTGCATCAATATGGCATAGCGGATTGATTTTGATTCGAAAGTGGTGACGATACCCAGATTGCTTCATGTTGTTTTTTTTTTCTCTTTGGCGCTTTGGCATAAACCCTCGACTCAGTGCTGCGTTTCCGGTCGCATGGGTTGTCAGTATGGAGGGACGAATGCGAGGCAAGTCGGCATGTTCAGGCAGGGCAATGGTAGTGATAGAGCAGGTGAAATTTCCCGTGGTGCAAGGTCGTGTACTTCTTTCTCGTCCTCCTCCTCTTCTTCTTCTTCTTCTTCTTGTTCTTCTTCTTCTCCCGTCGACTGACATCCTGTAATGACTTAATCACTGCCCCGGCTGTGGGTAGAAGAAAGTGGGCACGTGACGTGGTCAAACTTCGCGTGTCGCGTCACTCGGCTTCGTCACCTCTGCTCCCGCCCGTCTGCTTTCGCACAATGTACAAACAAGGCACCGTGCTTGTAGACAATCATTACATGGACATGCAGGTATAGCACAAGGACCACTTGCAGCTGACCACCCGCATGTAATTACAGTATGCCCTACGAGACCTCACGCCAATTATGAGTAGCAGAAGTTCGAGTTCCAGGAGTGTGCCGGAGATTTCCCCAGAAACACGGGCAGAATGAGCAGCGGTGCCAACCCATGGTCGGTGGGCCAAAAGGTGGAATTGAACGACGGACGATTGGGCACTGTGCGCTTTGTCGGGACAACAGCATTTGCAGAAGGACAGTGGGTGGGCGTAGTGCTCGATGAGCCATCGGGGAAGAATGATGGGTCGGTCCAGGGGAGGCGGTATTTCGACTGCACAGCACCGTATGGCATCTTCTGTCGTCCCAATGGGGTCAACTGTGTCATTGAGGAACCCAGGACGAATCCGTCCGCAAGGCCAGCGGCCAACGGAGCGCTGAGCAGAGGGGGAGGACGGCCCAGCAGTATCCACGCAGCGGTGACGGGCGCGCGACGGCAGACGCTGACGACGCAGACTGGACCCGGCAAGCGATCCAGTGCTATCGAAGGAAGTCCTACGCCTGCGCCCCGACTCGCCAGTGGCTTGAGATCGCCCATCAAGTCTCCCACCAAACAGCTCGGCACGAATGGCACCTCGAGGCCTACGAGTGCTTCAACCTCGCGGACCGGAACACCTCCTGTCGCGGGTAGAAGGATTGCCACGGGAAGCGCAGGGACTACAGCGACGGCCAAGTCACGCCCAAGCCTTACTCCAGCTACCAGTACAACTGCCCCTGGACGAAGGACATCAGCTCTGCCTGGCACGTCGAGCGCGGCAGTCCGAGGCACGCGGCCTCCGGCTACAGCTACCAAATCTGCTCGTCCCTCGATCGGAAAGTCTGGAGCTGCTTCTCGACCATCTATGCCTGGTCGACCGGCCATCAAGCCCGCAACGAGAGAAAGATTGAGCGCCACGACAGAGGAGGGCACGAGCGACAGTGCTAGCGAATCCGCGTTCACGCATGGAAGCGTAGCTTCTTCGTCAGCCAGCCAACGAGACGCAGAAGATCAGGGAACGGAGGGAGAAGAGGAAGAAGAAGGAGATCAGACCATGACCAACTTTGCGCCACCTCCGCCGGTACCTCCTTCGCCCACTGTGAGCACTGCTCGGTCGCGGCGGCCTTCTTCGCCAACCGCTGCGTCCATTCACTCCCAGCGGACCATTCGCAGTACGGCGCAGGACAAGCGTCGTCTTGAAGAGCTCGAGGCGACCAACAGAATGCTCGAGCGCAAGCACATGGAAGATCGCGGGCTCAAGCAAGAGTTACAGAAAACCCAGAAAGAGCGCGATGATGCAAGGAACGTGAATGAAAAGTTGACGAACAAGGCGAAATCACAGCGGGAGGAACTGGAGAAGCTGAAGAAAATGGTATCCGACTACGAGTCGCAGGCGAAGTCTGTGGAAGATGTGCAAGCTCGGTTTGAACTCGACATCGAAAGTGCGGTGGTAGATCGAGAAATGGCCGAGGAGATCGCAGAGGCGCTCAAAAAAGACTTGGAAGATGTGCGTAAGGTGAACGAAGAAATGGAGCTGGAGCTGGAAGTTCTCAAGGAGGAGAACAGTGAGCTGAGCAAAGAGATGAGCCCAGAAGACAGGAATAGTGCCGGCTGGCTGCAACTGCAGAAGAGCAATGAGCGGCTGAAGGAGGCTCTTCTCAGTCTGCGTGACATGACTCGGGACCACGAAGCGGAGCTCAAGGCACAGATTGCTACATTAGAGGAGCAGATCAGCGACATGGACACCGTGAAGGCTCAATTTGAGGAAAACCGCGAGAAGTTGCTCCGTGCGGAAGCGGATGCTGAAGATCTGCGGGAGCAGCTTGAGGTGGCACAGAACGCCGAAGAAATACTGGAGAAGCTGTCCGACGAGAATATGCTGCTTAAAGAGCAAGTCAACGAGCTGAATGGTGTCATAGAAGATCTTGAGGACCTGAAAGAAGTCAACGATGAGCTCGAAATCAACCATATCGAAACAGAGAAACAGCTGCAAGAGGAAATTGACTTCAAGGACAGCTTGATCGTCGACAGAGAGCGAACTGCGAGAGAGCAACAAGCAGCTCTTGACGAAGCAGATTACAACATCAATCGCTTCCGAGCGCTTGTCAGCCAGATGCAGAGTGATTTGCAGGACCTCGAAGCGAGCAAACAGATCTCGCAGGCAGAAGCCGAGCAGTTGTCGAGCAAATCACGAGCTATGCTGGACCTGAACCAGAAATTACAATCAAGTGCTGCCAAGACACAAATCAAGACTATCGATCTCGAATTGCGCAGACTGGATGCCGAACAGGCGAAGCAGCATCTGGAGATCGTGCAACTTTTCTTGCCGGAATCCTTCCAAGCTGAGCGCGATAGCGTGTTAGCTTTGCTTCGGTTCAAGCGAATTGGCTTCAAATCGACCCTCGTTCAGAACTTCCTCAAAGAGCGTGTCGCATCCTTTGGCACGCGCGGTCAGGACGAGGAAGTCTTTGCTGCATGCGACGCTCTTGATAAACTCACGCTCATTGCTGGCATTGCGGATCGCTTAGATCGATCTCTTAGTCACTGCAGTTTGGATGCCTTCTCGAACTACGGTGGCGCCTATCACGAATTGGATGTCGTGGAGCGCACCCTGGAGAGTTACATTGATGCTTTGCGACGTGATGAGCTCAAAGAGAGCGAGATGACCGTGCGTCTTGGGCGCTCTATCGAGGTTATGAACCACCTGTCAAGTCTCCACTTGCACAATGGTCTGGCTGATCATGCCGATGATCTGATTACACGGACTAAACTACTGCAGAGTCACCTGGATAGCACGACATCTGCGCTCATTGTGACCAAGAATCTCGTCGAGAGTGGCTTACCGAAAACTTCGGAAGATATGGAGTACGAAGATGAGAGTGTCACTGATGCTGCTCTCATTGTCAACAGAATCAAGACGATCACAGAATCCGCCAGGAATGCCAAGGTGCTTGCTGGCAGGACCCTTCGCGCCTTAGAAGAGCTAGAAAAGAGCTCTTTGACACCCGAAGAGTCATTCCTTGAGAACTTTGTCAGTGTGGAACAAGTGGCAGCCCAAATCACAGCTTATGCCTGTCATAGCGGAGCAGCCCTTCAGAAAATACTCGCAGAGGAAGGCCGTGCAGAGCCCGTCTCGCCATCGGAAGTGTCGGCAGTTTTGTCCAGAAGCGCAATAAGTATCTTCTCGCTTCCCTCCGCAGAAGCTGGACCATACGCGACCTTGAATACTCGCCTCCGCGACCTGAGTAATCTGCTATCGGATCTCTCCAGCATTCCAACAGATTACGACAACGCTGTTGAGTTTGAGCGTGCTCCGGCCCCATGGGTGGCACGCGCACAAGAGCTCAAGCATATGAAGGAAGCAAATGTGGACATTGAAGCCGAGCTTGCTCGTGCCCAGGTCGCTATCAATGAGCGTGATGGCCTGGTCAAGCAGAAAGAGGCTGAACTCAATGAGCAAACTGTCAGAATTGAAATGCTCGAAGCCCGCATGAAGGATGCAAGTAAGCGATCGGCCAAGATTGCGGAGCTTGAGAAGGAAGTCCGTGACTCCAAAGCTGCTGAAGCGAAAGCGAAAGGTGAACTTGCCCGTGCTCAACAGAATGCTACCGATGACATTGAAAGAGTCCGAGAAGAAATGGCCCGACTTGCTGAGGAGCGGAGCAAGCACGGAATGGGTAACAAGGCGATCGATGGCGATGCTATCGGCTCAAATGCCGCCGCGACAATGCAGCGTCAGCGCTTCAAGATTGCCAGCCTTGAAGGTGCCGTTCGCCATCTCAAGCAAGAAAACCACAAACTTCATCTACCGCCCCCGGACACGTCGCGCAGACTGTCAAACGACAGCTGGCTGGACTCATCAGCGTCTGTTTTCACGTCCAGAAAGCAGCAGCATTCCAACAGCAGCACTACTAGTCTCAACCTTGACCGGGGCCTCCAGACATTATTGGAACTCTCCACCCAGTCCACTAGTATTGACCTGACAAAGATTCCCGAAAACAAACTGGCTTGGAGACCTGCCAAACAGACTCCTCGATGGCAGATTGAGGTTCGAAAGGGACATTGGGCAGAATTCGACCACTGGCGTGAGAATTTGATCCGAGAAGATCGGGAGAACAGGAAAGGAGGAAACCACCTTGGTCATGGGGCACTTCTTCCGAATGGTGTGCAAGTACATGTATGAGAAAGCGTGGGTCTTCTGTCTCTCTTTCTGCCTCATGTGTGTATACGGGGATCGTGCAAATAACTTTTGGTAGCGAAGATACCCCCCCAATTTTCAAATAAATGTGACCATGTGTACTCACAAAATTTGCAAAGCATGTACGTCTGTCTATACATACATTTATAGGTTTTGCCCGTTGGGCCCAAGCATACCTAAACAGACACACACATAGCATAATGAGGGTCCACAAATCATTCAGGGAGACCGAGCAGCGACGTTGGTATTTCAAAACAAGGCGTGCATACCGGGAACTCGAAGTACTCTCTGCTCCAGTCTTGGTAAGTCTCTCATTGGGTAACATTTATTATGTTTAGCTGGATGGAAAACTGGCACTAGGCTGAGATGCTCATGCCAGACACTGTCTATCTAGTATGCTATCCCGGAGAAGAGGCCATGTCTCACTCACTCGTCTACAATACTCATCTCGCCGGTTTCATTGGCGGAGTCTCCTTCGGGCTCTGACTCCTCATCCTCGCTACTGACCTCTTCAGCATCCGAGCCGGCCCGCATAGCAGTAACATCATCAGCCTCGTCCACAGGTCGTGACTCCTTCCATTGTCCGCCTGCTCCAGGACGGACACCATCATCATGCTGCTCAGACGTGCTGGAAGATGTATCGGACGAGATCAATATACGGCGCTTGGCTCGCGTATTTAGAGAACCCGCATGGCTTCTTGGTCGATGCGAGCCACCCCCGTCCTCACTGCTTGCTGACCCTGTTCGTATGGCTTTCTTCGTGGCCCGCACATTGCCCACCTGATCGTGTTGGAAGTCGATATCGTAGAAATTGTTCAAGACTAGGCCAGAGTTACGCACGTGCGGCACCGATTGAGACGACTTGGGTGGCCGAGCAGCTTTGCCACCACCTAATTGGTCCTTGGGGAACGATGGACCGTAGTCGAAGAAGAACTCTTCGCCAGCTCTAATGTTCTTCTTGGCATACATGCCAATGCGGAAGACAGTGTTGACCATGCTAATCAATGGCCTGAGATTGGACTTGAAGCCATCAATGTGATTGATGAACCTCGTCTTATTCCCAAAGTAGGTGCTGTCGATTTCTTGCTGCCGATTGAGAGTGAACAAGTAGCACAACTTCTGATGCTCATACACTGCGCCCCGGCGATCAGCTTCTTCTTTGGTAATGGTCTCTCCCTTGTACTCGCCGACGAACTCATCGACGCGAATGTCTTCGCATGCGTAAAGTCCCAGGCCATGGACTCCGCTGTCTCCAACGATTGTGTGTTTCGCCACACCTCGTTGCAGGCTGGCCATGCCGCACCTGTTTTGTAGTATGCTTTCGTCATGTCGATGCACTGGGTCCAGGACGTCAGCAACGCCACAGTCGCCGCAGAGGTCCGGATCACACTCCCGGCTCTTCTGCCAACACGCGCAGCGGTCGTCTTCCCAGCATACTGACTTTCCCTTTGGGCGTCTGCCGCTGTGACATAGACAGCCTTGCCATTTACGTTTACAGCCGGGACCACATCCACAAGACTTCTCACAGGCTACTCTCGCATCAAAGCATGAGCATCGGGCATCCGAGCAGGAGGTACCTGGATGGTGGCATGGGTAAAAAGGATCACGTTCGTCTGCCTTCCACCGAAGACTCGCGAAAGGGCCCTTATCCCAGTATTCAAGATTGCGCCGTTTCTCTTGCCCCGATGGCTCGCTGTCCACTGTCTCTGGGAATGGCACTCGTATTCGCCAGTTGACAACTTGTGGTAGGATGATATCTGTCTCGACGATCTGGTTATCCGCGGGTTCCTGATCGGTGGTGTGATCCCTGATCTCGCCATGATACGGACAGTTGAAGCGCATGCAGACTCGACAAGTTAGCTGGCTCTCAGTCTGGACATCTGCTGCCTCTGCGACAAGTTGCTTTGTGTAGGCACTTCTCCGAACCATATGCCAAAAGGAGAACTTTGCAATTCTCTGAAAATGGTCGCATAATACTGCTGCCCTTCCGACGTTCTCTGGACTTGGCGTAGGTAGTTTCTCAAGAACGCGTCCCCAGCGTGATCCATCCCTAATAAAGTCCTCGGATAAAAAGGGCTTTCGATCGCGGAGAGCCTTGTGAGCATCTGCGCTAGTCCCAACATCGGGTTTCTCCTCGAGCAAAAAGGATAAGACATCCGACCATGTGCAGCCGATCTTCTCGATCAAGTCCTCCACGTAGGGTGCAAAGCTCTCAGCCTGTCCAAGACGCAACAGCTTCCTCTCTCGGTCGTCAATGTCCACATAGTACTCCTTCTCTAAGTCGAACGCTTTGCTAAGATCGAAATCGTCCCCAAAGTACGGGCAATGCTGAAGACTGGTAACATTATTTGCGAGTAGGCTGTTGCTGATACTGACGTAGTGGCAATATGCACGTACTTCTGGAGTATTACTCGTGTTGTATGTTGTGTATGGTGCGAAGTATGACTGCCTTTCTGTCTTGGAAGTCGAAGGATGAATTTCGATACTCAATTTTGAGCAACCTGCAGGTACGCCTTTACTGGCTACGGGATGCAGAGGTATTGGAGTCATCAGGCCAAAAACGGAGGTGGCTTGTCCAGGGCTTTGAACATTGGCTCGGAGTCGGCTTGTCACACGAGCGCGTTGCAGTTCAATCCTCGTCCAGTACTCGTTGTCGTCGCGCATTTCCTCGACGTAGTGGCCAACGGATCTCTCGATCGCATGCAAGGCTGTCGCTGGTGCCGATGCTGGCTGCAGGCCCGCCCTCGAGGCCAGTTGTGGCGATGTGCGACTGGTGCGCTGTTCTAAGACAGCTACGGCGCGGTCGTCTGCCGATGGATCTGGCGAGCTAGCAGTGGACCGCTGTGCTTTTCTTTGCATATTTACTTGCTGCTCTTGTGATGATGACACCTCACGTCTAAGCCGTTCTTGTCGTTTGGTAGCCTGGTTGGCGATCTGTGTGTTCTGGGCGCGCGCATCGGACTGCAAGAGGTAATCCCAGTCATTGTGCTGCGCCTGGGTCCCATATTCGTCAAGGTCTCCGGCCAGCGACGATACATGCGATTGACTAGTTTCTTCTCCAGAAACTCTGCGTGACACGGAGCTGGGTAATGACTTCGGTAAGTGTGCCACGCGTGCTCCTTTGCGTAGCATTCTGAGGCCATGTTGATCATTCTCGGCGACTGCACTGGGATGTGAGTTCACTTCCGGTTCGGTAGAGGGCTTAGCACTGCCGGAACCTGGTTGCGCTTTATTCGTGAGCAACTTGGAGGTTCCTGCATCGTCCATTGGCGACAAAGGCGGGCTTTCTGGTATCGTCGAGCGGCGCTCGCGTACTTCGCTTGATCTCGTAGAAGTTCTACCAACGAAGGATTTCTGACCGTGACCTCCTGATTCTTTAGGTGTGCAACCGTACAAACTTTCCGAGTCCAATGTGATCGCCTCACCCCGAGACGACGGGCTCCTGGGCGTACTGGAAGCTGTGGCCTGACGTGGGATGCCGTGATGGTGTTCAACAGAGGGCACTATCACTGGCGAGCTAGTAGCTGCTGATACCACGTCTCCCAGCGAGCCACTGTTACCAAGATTCGCGGAGCTTCGTAAGCTATCGAGTGTAGGCAGCCCGCCTGGGCGATATTTCGGTGTTTTGGACGATGCATCTACTGGAGAGGGCTGGTTGTGGATGTCATGGTCTTTGCGTGGCGTTCCGTTCCAAGATAGAGAGACGTTGGACTGAGCACCAGGCCCATTCAGTCTTCTTTTCTTCGCTGGTCGCTGGTTAATGTCATCTTCCTGGGTCAGGTCAATCACACCGAACTTTCTTATATTCGTATTTGTCGAAAGTTGAGCAACTTGACCGCCTGTGGCTTTGCTAGCAGAAAGACCTCCGCAAAGTTCAGGAACGAATTTCTGCATCGACCGATTGAACGGGGGAGGGCCATGAGATCGCTGCTTATCAAACTTGTGGCTTCGGCTTTGAACACGCCCCTGAGCTGATTTCGAGAAGCTGGCTCGCATCGCTCCTTCGTCAGAAGATGGCGCGCTAGGCGATGGCTGATTTTGTAAGTCTTTCCTGTCCGGGGACGATTGATGTGCAGAGCGAGCCTTGCCTGCGCTCTTGCCTGGTAGGAGACGATCACTTTCCGCCCTTGGTGTTGAGGGACCGCTAGGCGATTGCCGTTGTCCCGGGAGCTGCGAAGGCTTTGCTCTGTTCACGGGCCCTTGTTCGCGACGACGGGTACTGACTGAAGCTGAAATACCATTGCGCCCAGGTGAGTTTTCATGTTCATGAGACCTGCCGCCAATGGTTGGTTTGTGAGGAGGAAATCTCATGTGTTCTTTGGCGTGTGTTGGCACTGGGGGGTTATGTTGTGTCGATTTGTGCACTGGTTGCTTGGGAGGCAGGTCTCTCGTCGGCTCGGCATCGTCACTGCAGAGATCTATAACCACTGCCATGTCGTCGCCTCGACGAAGGGTGGTCAGGTGTCTTGCGCCACTCGAAGTCGGGCGCGAAACCTCATTCTTCCTCACGCCCCGACTCGTTTCCTCGCTTGGATACTGGCTTCTCCTGTGGCGCGGAGCAGCGTTGACTGTGTGCTTCGACTTCGCATGTGTGCATTCAGTGGCTGGTTGTGGCATTAGCTCTGTTGCATTGGACGATATTTTGCAGATAATCGTGACTTGGCGGCCACGCCTGGACTGAAGACGGGGCTACCTCGTAGCATTGTCTCGCTTACCGCATGTTCCGGAAGCTTCACAATGTTCCAGATGATTCTCGTCGCCTCAGTCGCTGCTGCAGGCCATTATGAGCGGATGAAATCGAATGAGTAGACCAGACCGTCGTGGTGGTGGTGGTGTTGATGGTGGGTGTGGTGTGGTGGTGCGGTGTGTTGGTCGAAAAGTAGGGAAATCAGGCGCTGAGAGAGTGTGAGGTGCAGCCTGCAGGCGTCAAGTCAAGTCGCGTTCTAAGAGTGGCAAGTGCTGTCGCGCGCCGATTTAAGGTTTCATATAGTTTGCTTGGCACATAACTTATGTTACTGCTAATTTTTCTATATTTCTCCTTAAGTCCTTATAATTTATTGAATAGTTCACCTACAGATGCATTCGAGTCTCGAGAGGCCTATTCTTTTGTCGGGTGTATCGAGTTCTGCGTTCGTAGCGATTTCTAGTTTAATTCTAATGTATCTATATACTATAAAAGGCAACCTTATACAATCCCTGCTGTTGGAATAGTGAGAAATCAACGATGAAAATCAGTCCGATTCGTAGGTTAATGCGTAAGGTAAATAGGTGCATTAATTATTTGGGCAGTCGCATGTGTTCATATCCTGAGCGCATTGATATCGTCAATGAATCTATGGTTTGGGTGACTTCGGCAAGGACGGTGAGCACTACGCTAACAAGCAATCGAGCCCATCTGCAAGTCTGTCCTCGAGCCCCCTCTCCAAAATGGTATCCCCTCCGTTCACCAAGCCCGGGTACAGGAAACGTTGGCACTCACTCATCATCGCCGCTCCACTCGTACGCGAGCTTCGCGCCCCTCGATATATGTACCCAGCGTTCGCGTTGAGGCCACCAGTTCCACTTCCCTCGCCACGGAGTATGTTTGAGGCTCGTCCAGTTCACTTTCTGCCTCGTCCGAATCCCATTCAGTAAGGCCTTCACTGTTGCCACCATGTCCCAGCGGATCACGTTCGCCCGTCTCCCAAGCCAGACGGACGTGCGTAGGCATCACACCTAATCTCTTGCCAAGCATGCCCATGACAGAGTAAATGCTGAGTGACTTTGGTACCTTGACTTCCCATTGGTGGTAGGCATCAAACACAAACGTGACGTCGATGAGCCTTGCTGCTAGACTGCGGGGGTCGACAGCATCCCTGCTCAAGGAGTCTGCCAGGCATCAGTACGCGCTCGCTGATGCTCCCCGAGCCGCATGCGGAGTGTCAACAAGGTAACAGGAAATATCTTACCTGGTATCGCTGGTTCGCCATACTCTTCGCACAATTCGCTCCATCTCGGATGCTTATCCAAGATCTCATGTCGTCTATCCAGATCCGCCGCTGCCAGCTCTGCGGTAATCTCATGGAGATAGTATTTATCAGCATTGAGCCTCTCCTTCTCAGTGATCTTACTGTAGTTCAACATGTCTAGTTGCGGCAAGCGTGCGATTGTGAGCATGTAAGCATCCTCTGCCATCAGCTTCTTGCCTGTAGCTGACTTCAGATTGTTGTATATCGGATTACCGGTCATACGAAGCTGGGTCATTGCTGGAAAGGCCACATGGAGAGCATCGATCACATCCCAAGATTCGATGCTGTTGTGGGCTAAATCAAGACTTGTGCTCGAGCTGCTCACGACTGTGCCTCGCTCTCCTACACCTACGATATGGCATTTCTCCACGTTGAGCTTCTGTAGCTCGTGGCAGTGGGATAGATGTTGTAGATCGGACAAGGTCGAATAGCTGTTACTCGACAAGTCAAGTGCAGTGATGTGGGCAGGCAATGCTTCAACACCCAGAGAACTCGTCGTGCGAGCCTCGTCGTCGGCAATCCTGAGCGTTTTGATACCTGGGAAGTGGCGGGAGACCATCAAGCCCAAAGTCTGATTGTCTTGCTGAAGCAGAGTATTCGAGAGGCTGAGCGAAGATAGTTGTGGCAGAGTGATAGGATCATTGTCCGGGCGGATGGTGAAGCGGTTGCCATCGAGGATGAGGTGGGTCAGCTTCGGAAGCAGGGTGACCAGGCCAAGGATCTCGTTGAAGCTCTCGAAGAGATTTCCCCCAATATCCAATTCGGTGATGTCTTGACAAGCGTCTCGGATGGCATCGTCCTCGCCATTCGTGACATGACGGATCCGCATGTGGTCCAGGATCAACACATGAATACCCTGCAGTGCCGCTTGTCGTCTGGCAAATTTCTCGAAGCCAACTTCCTCGGCTTGCTTGGAAGAGAAGTAGACTTTCTCCTTGGTTGTGACAGCATCATCAGACATGTATTTCGCACGTAGGGCTTGATAGAAACTCCTTGGTTCGTCCCATGGCTGCTTGGGCCTCAGAAACGAGGCAACGGTGGACGACTTGCTTTTGCCTGAGGTGAGAGCTCAAGAATGCTGTTATCCGCGAGTGATCATGAATGGATACAACGAGTGCGGCCGACTTACACTCAAAATACTTGGCGCCCTCGAACGTGCCGTTGTGCTTCCCTCGAGCTGGGTCATCCCATTCGACTCCAAGCCACTCATCGGACTTCCCCTGGACAGAGCCGATAAAGCGCACTGTGCAGAGATGACCCTTGAGACTCAGGCGTTGGCTGGTGTAGAAAGCCATAATCGACGTGTTGTGGTCAATGTTGCGTGGTTTAGGCTCCAGCAATGGAAGCGCGAGAAGAAGCGAAGCGACTGTCTAGGGAGCTCTGTCACATGCCGAGACCCACTTTTATCCGTCTCCATGGCCAACCTGGGGTCTGCATGACTGGCTTGTGTCTGTTGGTTGACGCTCAGCAACGAACAATGACACTTTACCTGTTCACCGACCTTGGGATATCTTGAGCTTGTCACTCTCACTACCACTGGAACGCACTCTCATCACCATCACGTTGACAACAGCACCGCGACGTGACCATGGAGAACGTCCAAGGTAAGCCGCAGCTCGACTAAAGTACCTACTTGCACCTCGCTTCTGACACAATCACGCCAGTGTGGGCATCGTACCTCTACGAGCAACATGCGCACAACCTTCCCGACGGCATTCGAGACCAGCTGGTCGGACTCGCCTCCAACCCGTCCTACTTGTCCTACGCGCAAACCGCCTACTCGTATCTCGCGCTAGCCTCCTCATACGCCAATCTCATCCTCAGCACCATCATGGACAGTGTCTCCTCGAAACCGGACCTCGCCACCATCGCGCTTCTACTGGTGATCATTTTCATCAGCCTGAAGATTCTGAACATGGTCGTCGGGACGGTGCTCTTCTGGTTTCGTATGGCGAGAAAGGTAGCTTTCTGGGGCACTTTGGTGGCGTTGGCGCTGTGGATGTATACGAGAAGACCGGTGGGAGTGGCAGAAGATCTTGGACATTGGTATGGTGTGTGGAAGGGGGAGTATGCGCACTGGAGTGAACAGGAGAAATTGGCGAGAATCATGACGGAGCAGGCAATTCCGGCTGGTGCTGGCAGGGCACATCCGAATCGACGACGATGGTATTGATGGCACAGACTGCATGAAATGGATACTCTGATAGGGCATATTGGACGTCGACCGGCGCATGGATTGTGTTACAGCTTGTGAGATTAGCGAAGGCGTTCTGGCGAAACTGAACGCTTGGATGGCGGCAGAGCCCATTTGCGCGAGGCTGCTCCTTGGCTTCGTTCATCACGATAGGGATGGAAGCGGCAAAGAGTGGGCACTGCAGCTGGCGCTGTTCGTGTGCGCGTGGGAACAGCGAGAGCGGTTGGACTTGTCACTTGTACCGGCATTGCAGGATCAAATGCACGCCTGTCCCGCGTTACTACCGAATTGCTCCCATCTTCACGCTGCCGTCAACATCATCTTCTCCCAAAACTCACGACTGACTTTCTAGCACTATTACCGCAGAAAGCGAGGGAACGAGCAAGCATGAGCGACGCCCGTTCAGACGGCTTTGGCCAGCGGTGTTTCCATGGGCGACAAGTGGGACGACGCCTGGTACGAGCTCATCGACATCAATCGCCGTCCGTTTCAGCGTGGCGAGACGAGCTCAACTCGGTACTACTCCGCTGCAGTGGTTTCATCTACGCCTTGATGAGATCCGCATGCGCAGGGAACGCATGGAATCATCACAGTCGGTGCTGGTTATTGGTATTTGTCGTCGGGTTTAGCGACAGGCTCGACATCAAGCACATGACATTGCTCAATGCAACCGAGCCATTAGCAGGCAGGCAAAAAAAACATCATGTGCACTTTACATGAGCCAATTCTGACATGCGACCTCTACCGCTCGAAGGATCAGGGATTCCTCCGACAGGTGGACTGGAAAATATGTATGCACCCCTTGCGTGAACTTCAGCCTCCTACACACCCTCAGGAGAATGCGATGACGATCCTTTGTCACGAAACCAATCCTCTGAATCCATGGTCAAAACTATTCATGCCCAACGCTTAAGCCACTCCTCCATTGTGAAAAGCCATCGCCAGAGGCTACATCGAAAAAAATATCTTAGTCCCCATCTATTCCTCCCGAAGCGGCAGTTGGAGGCCGCCGATCCACCCGATATCCTTGGCGTACTATGGATGATGTGGGTACTCGATCCTCGATGCTGACACCACGCAGGCAGTCTAGACATCCAGTCCATTCAATGTACGTACAAGTCCGGAAGTGCCTGTGGAGTCACACCCAGTGCAGGCCTCTTGTTCAGCGATGGATTCAGCGAGGCACATTCTCCAAATGGCGATCTTGCTGGGACCGGTCTGCTCCTGTGACCCGGTGATGCTGAGACGGATCGAACATTGCCACCAAGATGGATCTCTCTGATCCACCATCAGCTACGCCTCGTGAAAGATGTGGAAGTTGGGCGAGCGAAGCAAGGCCGAGAGTCCAACACGACGATATATAAAAAGAGAGAGGACGAGCCATATTATACCAGGGGCAGAATCAACAGAAAACACACAGTTTTTCCATCAATATGCTCAACTCGAACATTGCCTGCCTCGTGCTGGCAGCTTCACGCATCGCTCAAGCCCAGTACTCCAGTACGACCACATTCACCTTCCAGGGCAACACCCTTCCCACAGGACTCGCTCGCTCTGGCTACACGGTCAACGACAACGACGGAGCCACGAAATACGACCATGAGTTCGAACCCTCCATGGCATATGTCCAAGATGGCTTCCTGAACCTTCTCGTGCCGGGAGGCCAGAAGGACGATTCCACGATCTGGTCTGCGGAAGTGGTGACGGACTTTACCGTCTCTGCAGCCCGAGTTGATACGTGGGCCATCTTGACCGAGAATGCCGGAGTGTGCAATGGTAATATGAAGCACCTAGTCGCCTTAAGACGCTCACGCTAATCGAACTTTGCGCTCCCTCCAGGCATGTTCTTGTACGATGGCGACACGTCCATTTCCGGCGGCATTCAGGAGAGCGATATCGAATGGTTGAGCGATCCCAACTCGCTCGCCTTCACCGTCCCAGGAATTTCTCGCGCGTTGCAATACACCAACCAGAATGTCACTGTTGAGGGCGGCCCTTCGACCAGCGGTCCGGGCGAGGTGCCTTCCGATGCGACATCTGCCGTGCATAAATACAGTATTGATTGGAGAAATGGGTTAACTTCGTTCTTTGTGGACGATGTGGCACAGTATTCCTTCAGTGCAAATGTTCCCGTGACGAAGAAGGCGACTTGGGTCTGGAATAATTGGTCGTGAGTACTTGACTGCAAAACTACCCAACTACCCTCCCCTTTTGACGATGAACAAACTACCGTATGTAAGTACGTATGTGAAGGTGCTGACTATTTTTTGTGTTCATGTAGCAATGGAGATCCTCAATGGAGTGTTGGTCCACCTGCGGCCGATGCGGTGTTCAAGATTCAGAAGATCGTAATGGCCTATAACCCTGGCTCGGCGTAGACATGCTGCGCGAGGCTTTTGTGTTGGGACTGTTTGGGACTGCTTCTCATTCGGCATATACTCTCATTTAAAAAGTTCAGCATAGATTCCAGCTCGACATCGACACCAGTTCAGCATATAACTCCAGTTCAGCATATAGCATTTATACACTGTATCATCTGCTTGCCTGTCCAGAATCTGCCTCATGATAGTGTGTGTCCTGACAGCTGCCGCCCCCCAAAAAAGAATATGACACTTTACTTTCATATTTCCATTTTCCGTCATAATTTCTCCTCGTGTCCTGTACGCCTTGCCCTGTCCTATTGTATCCAAACCTCTTTCAAAACGCATATCATACCTCACCATACCTCATCCCAACACCCGTCGTCGTCAACGTCCAGCACCCACAATCCAAAACTCAATGCCGCCACCACTCCTACAATGTCATCAAGGCTCAGCAAAAATGCCCTCCAGACCACAAATCCAAAAGTCAGGTACATGTACTTTTGTACGTTCTCTTCCTCCTCCTCCTTCCTGTCTGCCTGCCCACATGTACCCACCCACCTACCTTTGCTTCACCAAACGCAGCATTCGCAACATCAGCTCCGAGCGTAGGTAGCGCCAAATCCCCACATGGCTGCCTGTGCCACTTGACCCCCATACATTCTCAAGTAGGTAGTGATGCGACTGGTGTTGCGACGCTTGGTGGTGAAAGATGGACTTGTTTGGAGCAGGCGTGTTCTGGTATCAGCTCTGACAAGAATGCCTGAGTGACCATCAGACCTCATCAGCACTACTACTAACTACGGTACATGTACTAGGAGTTAGGTAATGTACCTCCTAGTCTACTAAGGTACTCATCACCGATGTTCCAAGTCTTGTCCTTGGCGGTTGACGGATATACTCTTAGCCGTGCTTTGGTGCCGATACAGCTCCCGCCCACCTCCGCCCGGTTGACGTAGAACAGGTGAGGCGTAAGAACTTATAGAAGACGAGGTGGGTGGGCTGTTTCATCATTCCAGGTCAACAATCTTCCCGATAGAGTATTCGACTATTACACTAGGTACAGAAGAAAATCATGGAAGGTCCTGGATATCTCGCTGTCGCCATCCAGCCCGGCAAGGACACCGACGAGACCGCTTTTCACGAGTGGTACAACACCGAGCATGGGCCATTGCGTCTTCGACTGCCTTTCATCGAGACGGGAGACCGCTATACAGCTGCAGATGGTCAGAGACCAGAGTGGTCTGCCGTGTACGACGTATCCGACCTGACGTGGATCAACAAGCGAATCTACAGCCGACTCCGAGAGGAGCGATCCAAACGGGAGAAGGCTGTGATGAGCACGTTTGAATCGCTGGACCGCAAAATCTACAGTCTCGTTTCCACTCGCGGAGAATCCAAGGGGCCAGCTGGGGCTACTGTCGCCTTTTCAGCGAGACTGAACGAATCTGACGTGGACGAGTTTGACAGATGGTATGAAGAGGAGCACATCGACATGGTCTCCAAAGCCCCCGGATGGATGCGTACGAGACGGTTCAAGATGCTCGTGGGTGGGATCAATGGAATGCCACCTGCTGGTCAAGTTGAGCTTCTCGCAGTTCACGACTTCAAGCAGCCTCCCGATCTGACCGGACCCGAGTTCAAGGCTGCGGGCGCTACTCCATGGCGAGCCCAAATTATTCCCAAACTCCACTGGAAGGAGCTTCGAGTTTGGAGTCACCACTTGACATTCGATGCTCTGGAAGAGCCGCCATCCACCGTCATCACCACCGACGGCGCAGAGCTGAAGTACCAAATCGAAGGCAACCCCTCCGATCCCGTGATTGTGTGCGTCAACTCCATCATGACCAATCTGCACATCTGGGACGAAGTCGCACAGTCATTAATGAATGGTCTCAATGGCAAAACCTATCGCGTACTCCGCTACAATTCTCGCGGATATTCCCAACAAGCGTCCAAATCCAACGACACCACCTTTGACCTCCTCGCAGACGATCTCGAATATCTCCTCCAGCGTCTCGACATCGACAAAGTCCACGCCGTCATCGGCGTCAGCATGGGAGGTGTCACATCCATCAACTTCGCCATCCGCCACCCCGACATGCTGGAGAAATATGTCGCGTGCGACTGCAACGTCGCCTCGAGTCCCGCCAACAGCCAAGCCTGGGCCGAGCGCGTCTCCCTCGCGCAATCCCAAGGAATGTCCGAACTCGCGCAAATCACCGTCTCGAGATGGTTTACGCCCTCCAACAACAAGTCTTCCAACGCGGCAAAAGTGCTCCCCATGGCAGCAAATTCGCATTTGGAAGGTTTTCGTCTCAATTCTCTCGCGTTGAGTAATTATGATTTGAAACCCAAGTTGCAAGGAATTACTACTCCGGGCTTGTTGATTGCGGGAGAGGGCGATGGGAAAATTCCAGAGGCGATGCAGAAGTTTGGGATTCCGAAGAGTTGTTATAAGGAAATTTCAAAGGCGGGTCATTTGCCGTTTTTGGAGAATTTCGACGAGTTTATGGAGGCTCTTAAGGGGTTTTTGTAGGTGAAAAGTGAGGAGGGAGTCTCTGTCCCTAGTTATGATGTATAGGAGAGAGCACTACTAGATATATATGTACATGTAAGGTAGTCAGTACCCTCGAGCAGACACGACCGTCATCTCGTGATGGCTTCTATTTTTCCCATCGTAGCTACTAACCTAAGGTAGCTATACATCTCATCTCATTTACTAAGGTACTACCAAGCTCTCTACCTATTAGAAAGTACCTACGGTATAGAGCAGAACTTGCCCGCGAATATTTGAAAGCGAGAGAGAGAGCCGGGAGTCTCAGCCGAGAGCCGACTCATCGGATCGGAGAAATCTGAAACCTTAAATTCACGCGCCAAAGTCTGTGCGTATGTAGACGATCGCACCAATCGGAGTTTGCGAATTCGAGGAGGATTTATGTCAGGTACCTTGTGTACCACTCTCCCCATGTTCACAAGACCGACGACCTCTACCACCCGTACAAGACAGGCAGGCAATCCATCAATCTCTACCTCCGCGCGTCGTAAAGGCGAAAAAAAGTCAAATTCATGTTGAGAGAAAGTACGCACGAGTAACTTTTACATACAAACCTGACCCGGAAAATATTTTTCTGAGACATGCCCATCGTGGCAATCAATTGGCAAAAAAGACCTGCCCCTGTCCTGTGCTGTGTCTGCGCTTGTGCTTGTCTCCACTTTCTTCTTACACATACACGAGTGCCAGCGTAGGTAGGACTCGTAGAGTAGGGTTCCCTGCTGAAACGTTTGAGAGTACATGTATTACTAAGGTACATACAGGTAGGTCGAGTCGAGTCGAAGCGGTTCTAGATTTCTCTGTTGCAATTGGATTGCTAGGATGATGATGTGAGGATAGTAAGCCCAATTGTTGGGGGAGTCTGGGCATTTTTTTCATCTATCAAGTTCAACACCAAGGTTGGTTTTTGGATGTAGGATGTAAAACATGCCCGTACATTTATAACAGCGATACGACGACCCCCCATAAGAAAAATTTCATTATCCTACGCCCTCTCTGCCGGGTTGGAAAGTTTGACGCCTCCCGCTGGCCGGTAGTTGGTAGTTGGTAGAGGAAAGAAAGAAAGAAAAAAAAAATAAAGGGTGGTGGTGGCGCTGTACAGGAATAAAAAGTGTGTGAGAGACGACGATTCGCTGGGTAACCGAAGGGCTGGAAACGTTCGGCGGCTTGGCAAAAGGTAGAGTTGTCTGGGAATAGAAACTGTTGACGGGGGGCGGCTTTTCCATTCACTTTTTTTTGCATTCACTGGAATTCCCTGTTCAATGGTCCTGGTTCTGGATGTCTTCTTTTTTCTTGGTGTGGTAGAAAGGGTACTGAAAAGGGGAAGGGGAGTGGGAGTATACAGTACACCTAATAGGTAAGGTAGGTAATCAATTAATCAATGCCCACCCCTCCAAGTTGCATAGTGCATAGTGATTGTGTAGTGTTGTGCAGTGGTGCACAGGACAGGACAGGACACGGGCAGGGGAGTAGGGTCGATCTTTACCAGGCACAGCATTCTTACAGACACGCTCAGACAGCCTCTAGGAGGTAGATAGAGCAAGCTAGTACATTTCCAGCACTACCTCTGTCCTCTCCTTCCTCAACGCAGTTTACCTCCTACGCACATACGCACCCAGCCTACCTCCATACCTCCTAGGGCAACGCAGCGCAGGGCAGGGCCGGACCCGCCCTCTTTCTTTCAAAACACCCGACTGTGACACCTCTCTCGACACCTCTCTCCTCCTGCACTCCTCTACCTCCGTATTCTTCTTCTTCCCACCAACATATTGTCGTTTCCGCCATTTCTTACCTCCCGCCACTCTCGCTATCCCGCCATCTTCGCCCTCGTCACAAACACTAACTTACTGGCCATATCGCCTTGGCCGAAAACTTCCTGGCCGGCCAACCTTATTCGGAGCTTCATCGCGTGCGGCGACGTCAGAGCTTCTTCGCCAATACGTACCCGCACCTGTAGATAGGAGGGTACATGTACCTGTCCGGCTTTTCTTCTATTCACTACCGGAGCGCACACACGTGGAACGACCAAGTGCTGGGAGTTTCTTCGAAATTTCGTTCCTCTTCTTGCATCGATACAGCCATTGCATCTCACTCGCTTGATGAAATAGACTGCCAACATGACGACTCCTGTGGACGAGAGGCCGGAGCCGACGTATGTGCAACCGTCGTACAACATGAGCCATCCAGGTCAGAACACGCAAGGGAGAAGTAGCTTGGACACCTCGTTACCTTCTTATAATGTCAATCATACCGCCCACCGAGATACGCGTAACAACAGCTCCGACGAAGGGACCATGATTGGGGATAGCGATGCGCACAGCAATCCACGTCGTGGAGACAGGGAGGAGGATGAAGAGGGACACCGACCAGACCATTTGGCACCACCGGGTAGGCCGCGCAGCGCAAGTCGCTTGACTGTGGAAACCCAGTACGAGCCCGGCGACCCGCTGCGAAGCTATGCATCGCCATCGCAGACACGCGAGCAGGCGAACCGACTGGACGACGACCTGACCCTGTTGAAGATTGAGAGACAAATCTCGCGCCAGGCCGAGGAGGAAGACTTGTCCCGATCCAAGAGTCATGGTGGAGATACGGGTCGTAGCAAATCACGAACTCGCGCTCCACATGTGGATGAGTTCGACGAAGCTACCAATCCTGTGCACGAGAAAGCCCAAGTATATAAGCCTGTGGAGAATCCCACCACCAAATTTGGCAGATTCCTCAAGGGAGTGCATCAGTCAAACTTTCTCGTCCGCTGGTTCACATACATCTTGCCAGTCGTCCTGATTCTGTTGATCCCCTTGCTGCTCGGAGCGCTGGTCTTCAAACGGGCTACCGTGGGCGGCGTGGAACTGGTGTGGTTCATGATCTGGCTGGAGATTGTGTGGCTGACGCTCTGGGCGGGCAGAGTACTGGCCAAATGTCTGCCATGGCCGATAGGCATGTTGTCAAGCTTCTTTACCAACAACAGCAAGAAGTGGAGAGACATGGGAAAGCAGCTGGAGCTGCCTGCAACCTTGTTCTTCTGGTGGCTGGCCATTGAGGTCAGTTTCTTGCCTACGATGAAGAATCACCAGCGGGACCATCCATACGGTCATACCCCGGACTGGATGAGCACCATGAACAAAGTCCTGGTCTCATTCCTCGTTGGAGCCGTTCTGAACTTTGTCGAGAAGATTCTCATCCAGCTGATCGCCATCAGCTTCCACCTCCGAACGTACGCCGACCGCATCGACATTAACAAATTCCAGATTGGTTCGCTCACGAAGCTCTACACATTTTCGAAACAGAAAATTGCCATGGATGATGCCGAATTCGAGCAGCGCGACGATGGCGGTCCTAGCGGCGCCCGCACACCTGGTCAAGCTCTCAACGAAGCGAAGCAAGCCGCGAAGGAGGGATTCCGACAGTTTGGCGACGTGGCCGGAAAGGTCGCTGGCGATTTCACTGGAAGGACGGTCACCAAAAGCACGCATCCTACTCAGGTGGTCCTCACCCTACTGGGCTCCACTTCCGGTGCCCAAGTCCTCGCTCGTCGCTTGTATCGTACGTTTGCACGCGAAGATATCGAAACCGTCGTTGCAGATGACTTGCGGCCCGCTTTTGAGAATGATGAGGAGGCTACCGCGGCCTTTACCATGTTTGACAAGGACATGAATGGCGATATCTCCATGGAAGAACTGGAGGCCGTGTGCGTGGAGATTGGTCGCGAGCGCAAAAGCATCACGGCTTCGCTCAAAGATCTGGATAGTGTCGTGAGCAAGTTGGACGACGTCTTCATGTTCATCGTCTGTGTCGTCGTCATTCTGGTCCTCATCTCCCTCATCTCGACCTCCGCTGCGGGCGTTCTGACGTCAGCAGGCAGTGCCGTACTGGCCCTCTCGTGGCTGTTCAGTGCTACCGCGCAAGAGTTCTTGCAGTCGGTCATCTTCGTCTTTGTCAAGCATCCCTTCGACGTGGGCGATCGCGTGGGCATCTATGGCAATACAGGCTCGATGCTCAAGGGCGATGACTACTTTGTCAAGGAGATCTCGCTGCTCTATACGGAATTCAAAAAGATGGAAGGCCACATTGTGCAAGCGCCGAATTCATATCTGAACACACTATTCATCCTCAACCAGCGCCGATCGGGAGGTCTCGCAGAGGCTGTGACCATCACCATCAAGTTTGGTACCACTCTGGAGCAGCTGGACGGCTTGAGGACGAAACTCCTGGAATTTGTGACTTCGGAAAAGCGCGAGTACCAAAGCAACATCCTGACCGAGCTGCGTGAGATTGTCGAGGTGCACTCGATGAACTTGAATGTCATCTTTTTCTACAAGTCGAATTGGCAGAATGAAGGCTTACGTCTCGCACGCCGCAACAAATTCATCTGCGCGATGATGGTTACCATGCAAGAACTAGTAAGTCAATCGTGCGGCATGGCACAGAGAGGATAGAGCCACGTCCCAAGCTAACGTTCGACACAGGGAATCGAAGGGCCGTACATGCGCTTCCCAGGAATGCGCGAGAGCTTTCCCATGTACCTGTCCAACGTTCCTCATATTGGCACGGGCGCGGGACATGGCGGTCATCCTGACAATCCCCATGGAAATCCTCCGCCAGGCACAAACGAGTCGGAGGGTTACCATGATGCGCCATTTGTCGCACCCATTCCGGGACAAGAAGATTCGACTGGCTCACGCATGCCCTCGTCGAATTTGCGCAGCGGCTCCATCCTGAGACACGGCGGCGGCGGTAGAGCACGAGGCGAGTCACTCTCGCACATGAGCAAGCGTGTCGACTTCAGCTTGGGCATGAAAAGTTATGCTGCGATGGGTGATTTGTCTGGGGATGTGTACGAAGACCGCAACTTTGGCAAGCCCCAAATCGACATCATCGAAGCGTCACGCGAGCGCGAGCGATCGGAAGCGCGTGCGCGTAGCTCCCAAGAAGCGGCCAGAAGAGGGGGCAGTAGCGACTCTGCTCGTTCGTCCGCTCGCGATAATTTCATATCAGGTGGTCTCTCTCGAAGAGCGACGGACGCTTCCGGTCGTCCGAAGAGTGGCATTCATCGCAATCGATTTTTTGGTCGTTCCAATGCCGATGCTGATGATGTGGAACGCGGCAGCGTAGCTATGGCCGACATTCCCGAGGAGTCTCGCAACGCTACCGCGTCCAATACTCCTGGAGGTCGCATCGATCCTCGATCCGGTCTGGTATCTCCAGCAGCTTGGAGACTACATACTGACGAGAGCAATCCTCGTCCGCAGCCGCCACAGCTCCCTCGCCAAGTCAGCGGTAGTGGAGATATTGGGGACATTCCACATGTGGGAGCTCCGGAAGGACATCGACTTCTTGGCGGAGGAGGCGTGGGACGAAGCCAGACTCTGCGCTAGACGCGTTTGCATTCACCTGGTTCGGGACGAAGAGCACGATTGAGCAGCGTATTGTATAGCATCGCGACAGCATCGCGAGGAAGGTATAGAATTGACAAGACTACATGGAAGAGACGGCATAGATGTACGACGACAGTACGAGAAAGGGTGCCAAGATAGAGAGAAGGCAGTCTAGTAGAGCCAAAGTGACACCTCGACGACTGAACAAAAGCAAGTTTGTTTGTGCTTATACCACCTACCTACTAGGTACCTACCAGGTAGTCATGCAGTGAGTGTGTCAGTGTCTGTTCGGAGCTGCTTGCCGACCCTGTTGCTCGCGGCGCTCTCCGACCCGATCGAAGGAGCATTAGCGGCTCATCCCGGGTCCGATCAGCCAATCCCTTTCACACATTTCCCTTCTTCCCCTTCCCTTCCGTTCCCTTTCTTTCACTTCACTTCCATCTTCCTCCTTCTCCATTGGGACAATCAAAGCTCGGCTTACCTCCCTGAGCCGAGTCGTCAACCCTAGTAATTCCTCTATATACCTCGTACAAGTTACAATACAGGTGCCTGATAAATAATACGCCACTAATAGCATCTGCCGGACATTCTCCATACTATGCATCCACCACATGTTCGTCATCGTCCAGGATGCTCGTAGCCTCCCGAAAAGAAGATGTTCGGGGAAAATGCTTATCTTGGCAGTGTTTCTATCTACGAGTGCTCGCTCATCACGGCCCTCTAGTTCTGCTGGGATCTGGTCCATCACTCCATATAGTTCGAGGACGGACAGTAGTGTCGCAATGGGAACACGAGACAATACCGAGCAAAACTTGATTTATAAACTTGAGAAGGCCTTGCTTATCAGTACATAAGTGTTACCGCTACGCTACATATCACTACCTACCTTATATACATCGTGCCGAGATTTCCCTCGGTGCGGTGCGGTGCAGTTGCTGCTATGCCGACATGCGATTGTAGTGAAATCTGATGTAGGAAGGCAAATGTTGTGACATTTGTTAGAATAAGCATGCGATATGGTACATGGCTAAGCACTGCCAAGCTTGACATTCAAGCTCATTTTCCAAGACTACCTAATCTTCTTTTTTTTGACAATCTGGAATGCTTCGCCCTCGCTCTCTCTCGCCTTCCAGACGTTTCCAATGTCCAGTGTTGGGTTGATCCACTTACCCGCCTACAGCAAATCCAAGCCTTCGCGACGCTAATGCCCTCTCATCACAGCTTACATTCTAACTGTACCACGCAATAGCGGTCGGCCTTCCTTATACAGAGCAAGCGTGTTTTTTTTGCGCTATATATGAAGTAAGGTACAGTGATTCCGAACGGTTGACACATGCACGCTAGGAGTGACGATAAGCCTTCACACAGACTCTGGGCAAGGCTTGATTCGACGCGCTCGCATCGTACCAAGTACATAGTATGTATGTACATGCAAGTGGTCAAACAGTGTACTTACTGGGACGACGACATTTCTTCTCCACCAGTGACACTAGCAGCTTATCTCGGCACTGCAACATTTCACATTGCGTCTACCCACCCAGTAATCTTCTACGGATGAACTTTTTGGTGGACGCGAAAATCTTGAAGAGCGGAGAGGAGAGCGGACGTCCACCACCCGATATGGCAGGTATCAATGAGTAGCGCTCGTCTTGCTCTCGAATTCACTTTGGATCAGCATCAGACATGCTCCCGAACAGGCAGTTCCTCTACCGGTTGTGCATGTGTGAGATGATGATGCACGCAGAGAGGACCCTCCACCGAATGTAGCCCACACGATCAGCTTCATTGCCATGGCCCAATGGCGCGATATACAACCGTCAGGGCTGATATAAAGAGACTCACTTTCCCAGCGTCTCTTCATCTCACCATCCAGTCCACTCCGCATCGATCCCCCTCTCCTCTTCCCACCGTCTGCATCCGACGACGACGACGACGACCTTCATCATGTTCTTCCAGACCTCTCTGACTTTGGCCGCTGCGGCGGCCATGGTCTCTGCCGCACCAGCAACAGCACCACCAGCACCCGCCGAGGAAATGAAACCCGCCGTCATCCTTTCCATGAAGCACGCGATGAATGTGACTTCGATCAAGAACCTCGTTGCCAAGGGCCAAGCCCGACTCAACAAGATCAATGGCGGTGCCGATATTGTTGCACGTGATGGCTCGGGCACGGTGATTAACGATATTTCGTCTTATCTTGCTCCGATGTCGATTGGTGGGAAGACGTGGGATCTCATTGTTGATACTGGATGTATGTTGTTGTTTTTTTTTTTTTTTTTTTTT